TTTCACCATAGGAACCAATGGTAAATGGCTCACAAATTGCCTTTCTCACCATAGGAACCAATGGTAAATGGCTCATAAATTGCCTTTCTCACCATAGGAACCAATGGTAAATGGCTCACAAATCATCATTTTCACCATAGGAACCAATGGTAAATGGCTCACAAATTGCCTTTCTCACCATAGAAACCAATGGTAAATGGTCCACAAATCGTCATTTTCACCATAGGAACCAATGGTAAATGGCTCACAAATAGCCTTTCTCACCATAGGAACCAATGGTAAATGGTCCACAAATCGTCATTTTCACCATAGGAACCAATGGTAAATGGCTCACAATCGTCATTTTCACCATAGGAACCAATGGTAAATGGCTCGCAAATCGCCTTTCTCACCATAGGAACCAATGGTAAATGGTCCACAAATCGTCATTTTCACCATAGGAACCAATGATAAATGGCTAACAATCGTCATTTTCACCATAGGAATCAATGGTAAATGGCTCACAAATCGCCTTTCTCACCATAGGAACCAATGGTAAATGGTCCACAAATCATCATTTTCACCATAGAAACCAATGGTAAATGGCTCACAAATCGCCTTTCTCACCATAGGAACCAATGGTAAATGGTCCACAAATCGTCATTTTTACCATAGGAACCAATGGTAAATGGCTCACAAAAATTACCATTTTCATAGTTTGACACATATTTTGTGCATCAAATAGTTTGGTGGTCATAATTTATTGTTTAAAGTAGATTTTGTGAGCAACATCATAAAAAAAAGCCATATGATAAAAGTCAAGAAAATCTGGCGATAAGGTTTAATGGTAGCCAACTTTTATAACTTGCTGCACTCTCATTTGGTGACTTTTAAAGGGTAGTGGTCACCAGGCAACTCACATTCAAACTTCATGTATTGAACTTTACATACATTGTACATATCAAATGGAGCTAACAAGACACATTTTGACAACTACTGCCTGTTGAGTGTCAATTGAAAGTAGAAAACAAAAATGTTACTAATTCATCATCCTCTCCGATACCCTTGATGCGATTCAGATCTTTGCAACAAAACTTCACATTCAGTGTGTAAACTATGTGATGCATTTAGGGAAGGTACAGAGCCAATGTAAAAAATGAGCAGTTTCTGCAATTATTAATCTTTTCACCACCAGTTCCTTTTATCATCACAAATCCACAGAATAGTACAGTTAATAGCCTGCACTTTCCTTTCAAAAGATTAAGACTAAAAATAGCCAAATTTTGTGAGTAAAAACTGGGCTTCATTTTCTGAAATATTGAAGAATGTAAAAAAAAAGTGCAGAAAAAGTTTGGCCTGAAAAGGTTATTAATAGTTTTTTAGGAATCAGAATTTTTGGTGGGTGGAGATATACTGGGTACTTTTTATTGATGGACAGGTATCACATGCTATTCCCATCACTATCCTAGGTAGGAGGAAATAGATGCATGGGGAGGTGTACATGTGTAGTAGAGGTTGAGTAATTTTTGATTGGAAATTACCTGATATGCATGGAATGCATCAACCCTAAATTTGTTTCCAAACCAAATACAGTGTATTAGATAAGGACACTCATCCTGATACACAAAAAAATCTCATTTGTGATGAAGCTAAATTATCTTATGATTTACTGCACGATAATGCTAACTCAAGCTCTGTCCCAGTCCTGATCATCAAACACGATTTTGGCTGCATTTAAATTCCGCGTCCTTTTCGATACGAGTCCCATGTGACCTTTACAATGCATGTACAATACATTGTTTATATACACTAATTATGAGTGTACAGTGATTTGTTGACATGATATAGAGATCTCAAAATATCCCTCGAATAATGTACAGTATTCTGGAGAGTTCAGACTGTCACTATAACTATAGAATATACATCAACTAGAAATAAAACTCATGGATTAGTATTTGGAGAATGGCCAATAAAGTGAGTACGTGCTTGGCAGTAAGACTCAACAAGAATCTTCTATAATACTGGAGGTGATCGACAATTTTAACAATACTTGTTTCCAGACCAGTTGACAGAGTAACTTTGTATATCTGATTAGTTTTTGATTGTACATGTATATAAAGTAATTCCTTATTATAATGTCAAAGCGGCTCATAATAAGCTTACAGTCGAATACCTGACTAATTACTTGACAACAAATATGTGAAAATTGAAAACTGTATAATATTCTCATTTTCGTGGTGCTCAGTTGCACAGGTTTCACTGTATTTTTCTGTAAGAATGAACTTTTTATATTGACCAACATGGAAGTAAGAGGCTAAATTTAAAGATCAGTGTTTTATCGCATTTAGATTTAGTAAAAATTCTAACTTGTAAATTTATACAGACACTGTTTCATGCAAATAAATGCCTTGCTGAAATTTGCTATAAAACAGACTTGTTACAGTTTTATATAAACTGTAAATAAGCTTGTTGATTCCAATACATCAAATATAGTTTATATTATTGGAATTTGTCCCAGTGCCCTTAAAAATAATTATTTATTTTTCTCACAATTGGCAATTAGGTTTGTTCATAACAGTTATTGCAAGTCCAAATTTAACCCACAAGTGTGATAGTTTCAGTATAAACTAAAAATAAGAAACTGAAATTTTCGTGCATGCAATGTCATGTATTGTTCTGTTAGAAGCTTATGTGCTTACAAAAATTACTGACTGAAGTGTTTTTATGGTGACTCAGTATACAACCAATGTGATGTTTGTATGCACTTCTATTTGAGCAAATATGGTACTGTAAAAGGGTTAATTGTTTTCTGGGTTTTAATTTTGCTTATTTTGCTGACTGGAAAATGCGCTAAACTAAAACCCAGTGAATATTTAAAATTTAGCATAAAACACATTACCTAAATGATAAAACCGCAAATTTAAAATCCATTGAATATGCCTGAAATGCTAAATCAGTGAAATTTAAACTCAGTGAAAATTAATTCGTTTACAGTACATGTATTTGAAGAATTGCCTGTGTGTGTTTACTTGTAGACCTCAATACAGCAATTCTACTGGAACCTGTTATATATGGGGCACGTTCGTTCCATGGTGCAAATAAGATTGATAGAGCATACAAAGTATTCCATCCGCTCTGGTATTTGTGCTGGTCATGCTAAATATTGTGTTCACTCCTAGAGAGTTGCAGTTCTTCATAGTTTGTTATCTAAACTGTGTAATACTTTATTTTCGCTGAAGGAATGATTCAGTGAAAATAAAATCCAGCGAATATACTTTTTTCCCTATATTTTACAATCAACTCATCAAAAATTAGTGAAAATAAATTCCATACAAAACACCAACAAGTGTTTTCAGCCAAAATTAATTCCAGCGAAAATATTTTACAGTAAATTACACAAATGTCATGTTTATTCAACCACCATTGTATACCACTTTACATGTTGCATGCACAGAGTTCTTGCTGAAATGTCAAACATCCAAAACGAAAAAGTTGACATGTTCCTTTCCTTCATTTCTCTCTAATTAATGACTTGCTCACACATGTATTTATATATTCAAGTTTTAATAGTTTGCCCTGTGTTGAAGGGTGGCAGTTGTCATACAGCATGTGTTTCACATTGTATGTAAACAAGCAATGTATTTTCATGTGTTGCATACGTTCCATAGGGACCATATTGAATACCCCCTTTAAAACACTGGGAATATATCCACTTCATAGGTTTTGGGATGCCAGTATATCAATCTTCTTTGAGCATCATAATTTCTCCCGCCAAAAGCATACCTTTATAGCAAATATTCAGAAAGTGGTGATCAGTGTGTTTACTGGAATTAAATATTTTTTTTTTCCCCCCACTTAGGTGTAGTATATCTAAGTGACATTAATCATCGTCCAAATTAATGCATCTGTATATGCTATCATCTTACAAATTTGTTAGGCACATACAGGATCGTCCTGGAAACTCCTCAATAATTATTATGCAAATATCATGCAAAGTAGTATGTTAATATCTGTCAAATTTGTATCTACATGTATATATCATAAACAATTATTATGTAATCATATCATATGAGTTTATTATTATACTGAAATGATTTTATACTATATATTAAAAACCATAATATTGTGAACACCAAGTCAGTCTTTCACAAAGTTTTTTTTATGTTTATTTAATCCAAATTAAGAAGGAAATTGTGAAAACATACATTGGAATTTCCAAATTCATTTTTTGTAGGAAAATTGGTGTTCGGTGCATAGGTTGTACATGTGTTGAGTGCCTTTACTTTAAAAGTATTGGCAATCTCTGGAACTCTGTTACCAGATCATTGGCATACCTGAGCATGTCCACTAAAGGGAGGTTTAATCACAAATTCGTCAACATTACGTGACATTATGCAAATTATAAAGGTATTTGACCAGTACAGTAACTCAACCTGGGCTTCTGTAGTGAATAACAATACTATAAAACATAGTGTATGCATTGAAGTGTGACAAAGGCTTTCTTTTCATGCCAATGAGGTGGATATAAGGTCTGTGAGCAAGTTACTACAACAGGGACACGCCCACTTTACAATGGCTTTAAGTAAACCCCAAGTTGCTTTCCATTCATTCATTCATTCACTTACTGAAGCAATGTGCAAACAAGATTGTTCTATCACGGACGACGTCTGTAAGATAATTACTGTCTGTCCAGTTTATATCCTGTGTAGCTATATCTTGTGTCATCTAAAAATTTAAAACCATGGTCAGTCTTTTTTTATTTTATGTAAAATGCCACGTGTCTTTTTCAGTGACAGTGCATGTACTGATACCGTACTTGTACACAGAGTGATGAAAAGGCTTCCATTGTTAAAGCCTTGATTTGTTCAATGCATTCTCACAGTTTACACATGGTGCATTCTTTGAGTTGCTGAGGCTTTATTTAACCTGAGCAGCCGGAAGTTGATTTGTTCTTTAGTTGAACTTATCATTGTAGTACTGATATCATATCAATTTATGTTATGTCTAATATCATGTTTCAGCTCCAGCAATTAATAGTGAGTGGGGAGATTCCATGTCCTCAAGAAGAGGCCATCAATTTAGCTGGCCTACAGTTGAATATCGAAGAGCTGTGGGAATCCAAGATCAAGTCAGATGAAGACAAATCTACACAGGACGAAAACTGCGACACTGGAGGAGACAAGATGAGGGAAGGTGTGAGGCATTTTGCAACGGCTGATACATCGTTAATTGATGTTGAATCAAGTGAGAGCAATGGCAAATCAAGAGAAAGGACAGACTTTGTGAATGAAATGTTGGAAGTAAGTCCGGTTAAACAACGCAAACAACCTGCTGCTAAATCAGGAGCATTCCATTTGCCATGCCAAAATACAGCTAGATCAAAACAGGACGAGTTACTGTCATATAGTCGATACTTAGGCTGGGAGAGCAGCCGTGAGAAGGCGAGAGTGTTACGCGAAAAAGCCAAAGTGAAGTCAATTGCTTTAAAGAAAGATAAACTGCATGGTTATTTACCACCAGGCTATATTGAAATTAAAAATATTGCCAAACTTGTGAAACGACAATATCATAAATATGGCGAGTTGATGGGAATGGAAGCTGACCAAGTTAGTGCTGAACGACGTGCAAAACAAATATATGTGCGCATGTGTATGGATTTGCCTGGATATAACTGTAAAGTGTATTTCGTCAAGGAACTTTTTGGATCAAAGTTTTCTAAGACGGTAAGCTGGATTTATTTAAATTTTATTAGTCATGAAATAATCACACAACTATTCATCAGCTAAATCGCCTTGTATATATGTATATGTCTAGGCAAGAAAATACATAATTTGTTTCTGGTCACTGTTTTCGTCAATTCTGAAGGGGGCTGGCCGCTCACAATTTTTTGTTTTGTTTCTTGCCTGAACACTGCAAAAAAAAAAAAAGTAATAGTAATAAAAAGGTGGACCACGTACTGTACCATTTTTTTGGAACATCTCAGAACCAAAAACAATTCTTCTTATGCTTGTTGTTTTGAGCAGTATACATTTGGGGGGGGGGACTTCTAGTGAAATTACTTTACTGTGTCACCATAGAATTCATAACAATTTCTGGTTGCTGATTTAAATATTCGCATGATACATACTGTTGATGGGTAAACATTGCAGACCAACCTCAAATGAGCCTGTGTACTAATAAGATATGACATACATGCAAACCCATTAATTTTAACCTTTTCACCACCAGACTTTCTCGCCTAAATTTGTTTGCACATTTTTCGTATATTCTTCAATATTTCTGAAAATGAACCATAATTTTAGAGCCAATGGACAAAATTTGAGTTAATTTCAGTTTTTACTTAAAAATTTTGCTATTTTTGTCCTAATCTTCTATAGGAAAGTGCAGACTATAAACAAGACTATTTTGTGAATTTGTGATAAAAAGAGGGAACTGGTTGTTAAAATACACTGCTCACCTGTATACATCAGACAGATTGTGTTTATATTTTAAATAGAATAATTAATCACAGACCTTTTCTAATCTCACCTTAAATCTAAGCCTAATCTCACTCAAATCTACCTAACAGATTAAAATATCAACAACAACTTATTATTTAATAGCTTGAGGGAAACAATAGTGTGATAGTGCAGTCCCAGACCTTTTCTGCATTATTTCAGCATATTTTAGGGTTGTTTTTAATTAAAACTAACATTGCATTAAAGAAAATTAATTGCATCAATAATTGGTGCATTTATAGGGATTAAGAGGTTTCTCTGTAATATTTTATACTTTTAATAAAAGAATATGTGCTTGGCTTGCCATGCATTTGCGCAATATTGGTCCTATATACCTAAACATAAATGGCAACTTAGAGTACTGCACAGATCATGAGTACATAAAAACTTTAGCAAGATTTAATAACAATGTAATTGATTTGACTGCATCACATTCAGATCAAAACTGGTTTGTGATCTCATTTGATTGCTGGGCAGATAAATGAGCACAAACAAATTAACCAATTAAGATTTAATAACTATATAATTCTAGGAATAATTTAACTGCATCAAATTCAGATCAAAACTCATTTGTGAATTCATTTGAGTGCTTTGCAGATCAATGAGTGCAAAAAAAAAAAACTTACAAAAGTTAAATAACTGTGTAATTCCAAGGATGATTTAGCTGTTTCGCATCCAGATCTAACATCTCAGTTGTGCTTGCACTGGGAAAGCATAAAAAATTGTAAAAAGATCATATTTATCAACACTAATCTTGCACATGGGGGGGGG